CGATGCAAAAAGAAGGGAGTTATAAGTGCGAAGCCTTTGTCTGAGTGTTTGTCTGTAGCATCGTAGCTCAAAACGAATGGACTGGTCTCAGAGCCGCATTTTTTATTTGGAGGCTGGCTTAATTGGAGAAAACTCTATATGAAACTAAAGAAATTTCAGGCTACTTACAAATTCTATGGAGTCTTCCAGGATATGCTAACATATCAGTTGGACAGAACTACTGGGAAGAAAATACCAGTACAGTTACAGTTCTGTCAATTGAACAGTACAACACAACTACTTGGTACTTGGTGTAATGGGCTGGTAACTCGTCGTCAAGGCGCCAAGGTTGCGTGTGATACAACAGAACTAGTGGGAATAATCGGTGGGTTTTAGCTAAGCTGAGAAGAAGTACTGGGTTCTGTTAACAGAATAAGTGGGGAAAAAATACCAGTAGTTTTGTCAACAGAACTAGTGCGAATAATCGGTGGTTTTTAGCTACGTTTGATGAACATCACACGTTGAAATATTATCAGCTTTTCCCAGTTAGGGTGAGGTCGATAAGTGTAATTTTGTGAGTTGTATGTCGCGTTTTTTGAATCTCGTCAAAACTCACAAGAATACGCTCGTCTGACCTCACCCTTAGTGTAGGGATCTCGACCAAGCATATATGTCGGATTTTGAAATGTTTAGTTTAAGAGCACACTATAACTATCACCACAATGAAATGTTTTATACCCTCCTAAAATTCTTTATAATAAATTACATATATACTGTACACGAAATTCTTTCAACGAAATTGTGAAAGCTCAAACAATTTCCCTTATCAGAGTGCGTGCCCTCGCGTAATAATGTATTACAATACGCACCTTGAAAATTGTACACCGCTGAGGTATGCCAAGCCAATTCAACAAGTAACTAACTAAACTATTATTCATACAGTGGTCACTCTAGGGTCATCGCAAACCGGTGCGGACAGCCGGGGAGTCGATCGTGGGGGAGGATATCTCTCATCAGTGTGCGCTGGCGAGCTATCCTTTACAACACCACGAACGCTTTTATTTTATAACATCAAATGACGCGACGAACTAGTGCGCCTAGTGGTATGAGCGTGTGCGCGTTGTTTTGATTCTTACTTTAAAACACAACAGATCATCATTTCAACAACACATAACTCGTAGTAAAAGACGCTAGTAGAAGGGATTCAAATCCGAGCGACGGGCGGCATGTCGGCGGATGCCGCGGCGTTTCAGCGGTTCCTGCGGTATGCTGGTGGATTATAGTAGCAGGAAAGTTGCTTGTGAAAGAGTTCGTCCAGGGAAGTATTGGCACCTTACCTATTTCTGCCGTCAAGCAGTAATGCTCACACTGCGTCACGGTATTAAAGGGTAAGGGTGCTGGTGAAATTACAAGCACATGGGACTTGTCAACTTCTATCTCAGGGTGACAGGCGCAGTGGCAGTGCCCCTCATATCTTTGTGATTTAAATGGACAGGCGTGTAGCTTACCATCAGGCGCATGACTCGTTCGTCCAGTCGCTTTGTTTTTATCAAAAAAAGATACAACTATAATAATAATGTGACAACCCTATGCTTTGAGGGACGTGATGAGTCAGATTTTTTCAGTGCAGCGTGTATTACGTGACAAAAATATAGGGTGCAAGTTACAAGGGCACGGTGTACACAGAAAAGCAACTGTGCTGGAATATTAAAGAAGATATAATATTATTTTGAATAGGGTAGTACATAAACATATATACAATTGAGATTTTATACGTGCTTGTTTTACGCGAGCGGCAAATGTGATACGATGAAGGAAACAAATGACAATCGATCCTATTGACAGGTGCTCTCGTTGAGTGTCGACCCACTTCTCTTTACAACTGTTTTTATCTTTTCTTTTATATTAGAGTCATTTTCAGATAATTATTAACCGACTTCAAAAAAAGGAGGAGGTTCTCAAATCGAATTATAATATTATTGTACGTACTCGTATGTTATGCGATTTTGATGATTATTTTTTTGTTGGAAAGAGAGTATCACATTATTGGTCCCGTTTAAATTTGAAGAAAATATTCCACCTAAGGGTGGCAAGCTAGGAGATGAATCCGGTTTCGCGCACTTTCCGGTAACCGATTTCAATAAAACTTGGCAAATAAATGTAATTCCAAGAGGTTTTGAGGTCGTTTTTTTTATAAAACAATTATAATTAGAGTCCTATTTCATTTAATGCCATGTTTATATTATTACACAACAAAACCGTGTATCAGGTTAATGAGCTTTAGAAACTACATTTTTTAAGCTACAAATGACACAAAGTACATACACGTGCAATTTCGCCTATTTTTTACTAAGACTATTGAATTCTACACCTCTAAATTTTTTTTGACACCCTCGTTGGTTCTTCGGTTTACGTTGTGGGTGCTGGATAAGGAGGTCCCGGGATCAATTCTCGGAAGGTCCGATTTGGGAAATGAACTTTTCTGTGAATGAATTGGTTCTGGTCTGGGTGCACCGAGACGTGCCCCAGAGTGAATTCCGTTGCTCTGGTACTCATAGAGAACAACCCATTGGTGTGGTTGTCTGGCACATTATAGTCATTAATATTACAGATTTTAATTAAAACGGTAAACATGGAAGCGCAAACAAAAATTAATACTGTGGAAGCATTTTCTTCGCGAACATATATACAAAAAAAATGCAGTCGAATTGAGATCCTCCTATTTTTGAAGTCGGTTAAAAGATTATATAACTGAAAATGAAAAAAAAAATTCGGATATCATATTGCGTGCATTTGGCAGTCAGCCGTGACCATGGGATCTGTCAAGAGCCCGAAATATTGGTTTGTTTGAAAAAATACTCTATTAAATTTTTTCCGGATATAAATCCGGAAAAAATGGTTTCATAATCCAATGTATAGAAATCGCGAAAACCTAAGAACTCGATATTATCATATACGCAAAATTGGATGAAAAAAGACTCTTATCAAATGCATATTAGGTAAATGGAATCAATCACACTTCTTAATTGAATCAATCTGCCTCAGTAGCCGAACGGTTACTATGCAAATCTGCCACGCAGAGGTCTCAGGTTCGATTCCCGGGCCGGAAGAAATATTTATGTGGCCTACATTTATTTATCTCGTGAGTTTGGGTGTAATTTGTGGTTGTCTATTCGTGTGTCCATGGCACCCGCGATACAGGATTTCCCTAGTGCGGGGCTATAAGTGTGTGCGTTATTTATTTATTTATTCATTGGCACACTTTTTTACACACTATTTACTATTACTATTTAAAATTTTATAAAAACTGGCAACCCTGCAAATGTAATTTTACTCTGTATTTAAAAAAAGACAGACTTTAACTTATACGGTTATGCATATTTTTAACAGTAAGGTACCTACAATAAACCCGCCCCTGTTTGTTAATGTTGGGTTTTATTGCCTGCCAGCAGTCCTTAGGGATCCACTTGCTACTGCTTACGTGAATTGTTCACGCTCTCTGACTTACATATATGGCCGTTTTCATTTTTATTACGATAACTTAATTACATTATCTTATGCCTCACCTCTGGTGTACTATATTTTTATGACTTTATTTGTTCTGGTTTTCATTGGCGCAATATATTTTTTTATGTGACTAGGGAATGCAAATCCGTACCATATTTGAAATTTGGATTTCGAAGACGGATTTCGCTAATTATTTCAAAATTCAATAACACAAAAAAAATACAAGAACAAAAAACTTTAACAAATACACCACTAGCTGTCAATAAAACGTAAAAAAATAATCAACAGTATGTACGTGTTTAGAAATAAAAAACATCATAAAATTGCTTTATCATTTAACCTGCTGAGGATTCAGTGGCACAAACTTTCAAAATATTGTTTGCGGAATCGTAAATAAAAATTAAAAAAAAAAACGGATTCGATTTTAAAATTTAGTGAAAATCCCGGAAAATTCGGATTTTTTGAGTTACGGATTATCCGAATTGCATTCCCTATTTGTGACACCTCTGTTGAGGCTACTATAATCTCTGAGACCACATTGATTTTTCTCATCCCTGGCCAAGTGTACCAGATTCTGTATGATGACCAATATTTTATCTGATCGATGGTAAGTTATCATTATCACATATTTTGTGACTACATTCTTATTATTATTAATACAAAGATCGAACACAAAGAAAAATTCCTTCGATCTCACAAGACTCGAACTTTTTTTATGTTACCAAGTGATAGGACGAACAAGCCGTGCGCCTGATGGTAAGCGACACGCCTGTCCATAGCAGTTGCAGTGTTACGCAAAGCTTTAAATCGCAAAGATCTGAGGGACATTGTCACTGCGCCTGTGACCCTGAGACATAAGTTGACAAGCCCCACGTGCCTGTAATTTCACCAGCAACTTTACCCTTCAAAAATCTTATCTTCAAAAAAATCTTAGAACTAGAATGATAGTGTGTGTTAGTTCTTCTTCTTCTTTTTATGAACATGGTAGGCTGTAGCAGAATATCAGCGGCGTTGTGAAACACTAGGCTATTTTGTTGAGCTACAGACCTTTTTATCTCACACCACTATTGTTATTAAACACTGTGTAGAACTTTATATTTTATTTTTACTTACTAATGTGTGGAGATAAATAAACGTGTTTATTATTATTATCAATAGAAGCCGAAAAAACGCAATACAAATCAATAGAGAATTTCATAAGGTCTACAGACACGATCTGTAGCTCAGTTGGTAGACCGGTAGCCTTGGTTTGGCATTCAGACGCAGGTTCCAGTCCGATCAGACCGAAGGAACTTCGTTTGTGTTCGATCTGTGTATTAATACTTGTAACAAACGAGTGCAGTAATTTAACAAAAAAAAAATCATGGTCGTAAAATATCATGATATTCAATAATAATCAATATCACATTGTTATTTCCCTACACTAGTGATGAATACGACATTTTTATCACGAATTCTACGTCACGTAAATCCGCATTAGGCTTCATCTCAATGAAAAATTAAAAGTAACTTACCGTACGCAAGAATGAAACATCATCCTGCTCGCTCGCTCCGCCCTCCGCTTCCGCCATCTTGGATTCTTGTCACCTTCAACTATCAGTTTACTTCTTCATCACCATTCGTCTTGAAATGCATAGCTGCAACAAGAGAAAAAACTTTTTTCTTATAAGGATCATTTTAGAAATTAAAATCGATGACAGTAGAGTTCAAAAGTTATCTGAAATATCACGACCTTACTGTAGAGTGTTTTGAAAGAAAATTTCTCCAGACAATAAGGGACTACTTGATTCTCAATTATATAATTGACACATCATCCGCCGGGCCTTAGCCACGGTTAACGTGCCCGCTATACTCGAGCTAAGCGTCGCTAACAAACGGTAAACGCCCAGACGTAATAACTCTCATCCTTTGCAGTATGGGACGGGCACTGATGTGTGACGCCACGTGCCGACACACTTGCCCCATCCCATTTCCAGCATACCAGCAAGAGGGCTGGCTCCGCAATTCAGTTGGCGGAAAGAATAAAAAGTAATAAGTACCAGATTCTCGGCTCCGACTACCTATTTACAGTCTTTGGAGTCGAAACCCGTGGGCTCCCGGGACCCTTCATCTGTACAAAATTTTATTCAAAAAATTAATAGACTGTCTGGGAAACCCAAAAGCTACCTTGCCTAACGCATTAACATAGCCATACAAAGGGGGAACGCTGCCAGCATCTTGGACACCATGCTGCGGGGATTCGATTTTATTCACACAATTTAATCGTGGTTTTACTTTCTAGCATTTAAAATAACATTTAGTATTCGAAAATAATATTTGATCCCTCCATTCAGTAGGTTAGTATATGAAAAAGAGGAAGTGAATTTGCTTGCGTTTCTGAATATGGTTTCAAGTTTTTAATGCTCGTTTGTTTTAATTTTGAGGGTCAACATGAAACTATCAAATTTATACAAAACAAACACTGGCTCAGAACAGATTAAAACATACATTGATTTAATTTATTTTATGTCTCAGAGAAAAAGAATCAGTCATTAAAAATATGACCGCATAGAGTTCTTTGCTTGCTGCTTTTGCAAATTTTAAATGCATGCATTTAAATACATGTCAAAGAATAACATTACCTATATTCTGAATATCCTTCAGATATTAGCTTTTTACATTACCTCATAGGTCAAAATTTTAGCCAATTCAGTATGTTATATCAGAAAACGTCAAGTTTTTACTTTCGAAACGCTCTACTGTAAAAATGTAATTTTGCAGATAACCGGTTACTCTACGCTGTCGTCGAAATTAATGTTATATAGGTAGAAAACTTCAACGCAGGCAACATTCCGGGGCACCGTTTAATCTTTGCACTGCTAAACTTATTCTTCCTTAAGAAGCTGCCAGGCGGTCCCAGGACACCGCACAAAGTAACAAAGCGGAGGCTGTGGTTAGCATATTTGACCCTTTTTCGGCTCGTGGCATCTCATGCCGCGGAGCGCGCGACACAATTAGTACCTACTATTAAACAGCGTAACGTGAATGAGAAACTATGAATTGTTTAATATGGAAATGTAGTTGACATTCATGTGGTTTCCGTTCATAGACGGAATACAACCAAAACTCTCTTTATGAGTAAAAGTAATGACTACTGTACAAACCTAGACAATGGGAAGCTGCGTCTCTAGACCTATTTGATTGCAGCAATTTCACACATATACCGCACCTTAACTTTAAGGCGTCCCGCAGATGGAGCAACTTTAGTTGACGCAACTGGTAGCTTTTTACAAGTTTCTATTAACGGTTGCCGGTTGTAGCAACTAAAAGGCCTAGTTGCCGGTTGCCGCAATTTTAAATAAACTCTTGGAATTCACGGTCAAGACTCACGCTGCGGTGGGCGGGGAAGGAGTGAAGTTGCTTCACGAGTTGCGGTTGCCGGTTGCGGAAACTGGCAACTGGAGACAACCAGTACAAATTTGCAAGTTTCTAGTTGCGGCAACTAAGAAAATCACGGATTTCGGCAATCGAAAACTGCAGTCGAACTGTAGTCTGCGCGGTTTCCTGAAATTATATAAAAACCGTTATAAACAGCTAGTTGCGGGTTGCCAATTGCCGAAACTCGATGATCAAAGTTGCTCCATCTGCGCAGCGCCTAAAACGCTTATGTGTCATCGGAATTTAATAAAAGCATGGATCAATAACTAGCAGTTAGCCTATACATCGTTAAATTGCTTTGCACATGATTACAGGTTTTCTCACTATGTTTTTCTTCACCAAAAATCTCCTGGCTTATAAATTTGAAATTAAATTTCGGGCATAAGTTCCGAAAACATCAAAGATTTGAATTAGAGATATAAATTGACCGTCGAAATGCTATAAGTGACCGTCAAAATTAAATGCTAGAAATGCTCGATCAGAATGGGCAATTATTGCCACAATGGTCAAATAAGACGTAATATTTTCATATTAAATAATTGTAATTACTGGAATACAATTACCACCGAGTATATAACCAGAAATAGAGACGAAATGAGGGCCTTCCATCCCTGGCACTCATCAGGCAAATGGGCCTTATATCACTTTTCAATATCAACTCTCGTTTGCAATGAAATAACAAATTAGAAAGCTGAATAGTACAGCGCCAACAACTGGCCTGTGTACGTCTCCGTATATTCCAAAATTATTCTGTATTTATTGTAATAAAGATAATACCTCTAATTATGGGGGCTGTTCCATTCGGTGGTGTGGGAAAAACGGCAAAACATCTAATTACAAAACAAATGGAATCACATTTCATCGGTAAAGCTCAAGTTAAACTGGTCGTTTTGAAGTGAAACAATTGACGACTTCCGGCAATTGTTTCGAATTCGGCCTGGCCAATCGGAGCGCAGTTGTCACCTTAATGATTTGGCAGAATAGTTTTCAAACAAATTAAATGGCATTTTGTCTCTATTGCTGGTTATATACTCGATGACATTTACATAACGATATGAAATACCTATCAAAATACTGTTTAAAACTTATGCATACCCAAATCAATCATTAAAGCTTTTAATAAAATTGAAAATGACGTTGTGTTTATTATTAGTATTTTAATAATAACAACACACACACTCAACATAGCCCCGCACTAGGGAAACCCTGTGTCGCGGGTGCCATGGACACACATATAGACAACCACAAATTACACCCAAACTCACGAGAGAAACAAATGTGGGTCATACAAATATTTCTCCCGGCCCGGGAATCGAACCTGGGACCTCTGCGTGGCAGTCCGGCCTGGTAACCGTTCGGCCACAGAGGCAGCTATATTATATATTTTATATAAGTAGTTTTAGAAACTTTCTGTACCCTAGGCCTAAAATATACGTTTCAATCATTGACTTACAATATGGACGTCGGGTCCGCGCTAAAAAGCGTCCGAACTTATAGGGCGTTAAAATCGTATACAGAACGTCATTCACGCTTTAGTCTTCGTTTGTTCGACTAACAGCGAAGCAAGCAAAATTAGACAGTACTGCGATGACATTACAATTTAAATATAACGTTTTAGCTTTTTCATATTCCTTTACATGTCACTACGTTTAAATAGATTGACTTGGGACATTTTTTTCGTGGTTTTTGTATTAGACCCGTCGTCCATTTATTTGTAAGTCAATGGTTTCAATTTAGAAACAGAGTGTGGTTTTCTAGGTGTAACGTGCGTGACTATCATTAATATTTGGCCAAAATTGACAGAGCATATTGAGCACTTTTTTTTGCGCGGTCAAGTTGCAACATATAACTTGACGGTCACATCAGTTACTCGTACACTCTAATTCGAACCTACAACCCTCTAAAGCGGTAGATAATCTAGGCTATCACGGCTTTTTGTCCTTGAAGTTGTACAAACATAATTAAGGTTAAATTCATATCCGTTTAAAAGTATAAAGTTTTATGATAAAGTGTTCAAAACGGTTAAGACGCCGTTATTATTACACGGGACTCGAGGTCGGTCCTTTTTCGCTGTTATAAAATTAAGTAAAATGAAGCCTTAAGTCGTGGTATTAAGTTTGATAAATTAAACGATGGGGCACATTTTAAACAACTAGTCGACTTTTTTATGTTCCAGTTCCAGTGCCAGTGCCACTCAGAACTTTTGGGCACTTCCACTGCGCCCTTATGTTTCAGAGTAAACATAACTTGACAAGTCCTATGTACCTTACCAGCACGCTTACTCTTCAAAACCGGAACGTAGTAATGCTCACATTACTGTCTGGCTGTAAAGTGACAGTACTTTCCTGGACAAACTCTTCACAAGGAGATGTACTGCAGAGGTCTACTCCAGCCTATAAGTAGTCGATGTCAGCGAAAAAAATTGGAGGTACATAAGACGTTAGTGGGGTCCATTCACATGGACCCACCCCATTTAGGCGGTTGTGACCAAAATTTTGACTATCCATAGATGGAGTAATTTACATTAGACAGTGCTACCTATATAAATGCACAATAGTTTCTTATAACACACGTTATAAATAACATAATTACACAATAAGAAAGATATTCAGATGGATCAATGTATAAAACTTAACATGTGTTTTATTTAAAAAGTTTCCCACAATACAGTTAAACTTATGAAAGTTAATAGATTTGTAAAAAAAATCGATAACAGAAAGGCATGGGTCTACAAGATATAAAAGTTTCGAAACCTTTGGTCTAAACAATAAACACAAACAGCCTTCAACTTGCTACGATCCTGACACCCCTCCAACTGTACCATATAGTTAATGCAAAGTTTCGCTAAAGTTGGCAGAGTTGTTATATCGACGTTCCCGGGAGAGGTTTACGAGGTTATCATAATAACATAAGGGTTAGTCATTTATAACTGAATTTGGTAATATGAGAATGGATGAACTTCTGGTTATGAAAAAAAAGTTATTTACACAGTTAGATTCAGAATTTCGCTTTGGATGCACCCCAATTTTTTTAATGAAAACAATTATTAATTTTGTTTAAATCCCTGACAAAAAATGGGAAATAATAAAAGTTCCGAAAAACCAATGAAATTCCAACGAACTGAGACTAAATGTAAAATGAGTCACAGTGAAAAAACACAGAACATACCAACAAAATTAATCATATTAGCAAACAATCAAGAGATTGTTCAAATTAAAAT